ATCATAGAGAGTTCGAGAGGGTACTCCATACTTACGTGCTGCTTGCAAAGCACTCATTCCTGAGCGTACTGCCTCGATCGCAGACATGATATCATTTCTTGTATATTGTTTATATCGTTTCCATTCTGGCTTTTGAACTGGTACATAGTTGATCATTTCTTCGGTAAAAAATAGTTCGTTATATTTCTTTGTAATTGAATAGAAGTTGAAATTTCTATATAAATCTATTTTTCTTACCTGTTTTAACATCCGGAGCATATGATTGTGGCGATGATTGCTTATCGTCTTCATCCATTATAGAAACATCGGTATAAGGACTATGTGCAGATTCTCCATGAACTATATCTGTATTACTACGTCTATCATTTTCATTTGATGAGCCATTACTATTAATTCTAAATTGAGTTTCTTGACTATCTGGATGTAAGAGAGGAATCCCCTGAGAACTATCTGCGTGACCTTGACCGAGAACCGTTCTAAGAATCGGTGTGTCTCTATTCATTAACATATTCAAGAGTTTCTTGCGTTTCAATGGGGAAGTTTCAAAGCCATTGTCATAAGATCCGGTTAAGATGGGGGAGTGTTGATGTGATGCCGTCTGATGGCTGGAACTGGAATGAGTAATAGGAAATCTTGATAAAGGCCACATTGGTAGCGCTAAACGGCTATTTCGATCAACTGGTGATTTGCCGTAAATATTATACGTGGTTCCTGTAGAATGCGGTGGAGATATATGTCCACTACTATGAGCTGCACTACTAGTTGTACTGGTACTTATGGCTGGCGGAGGAGACATAGATGTTTCCACTTCTTCTTGATGACTTTGAGAGTTATTTTCTTCAACCAATCCCTTCACTTTTAATACTTCTGCGACTTTTAATAAACCAGCTAATTGTTCTTGAGCCACATTTACTTCACCTCGATACATATATTCTAAGATAGCTTTAATATCAGAGTATTTCACGTCTTTTAATACTACAATCGGATGCTTGCATGGTAAATCAATAAATAGAGTTTGAAAATAAGAGGAACATGCCGCTAAAACCATTTTGTGGCATTTAACGGATGCACCTTCATCAACTGCCAAAGTTACGTCGGTGAATGCTTCGTTTTGCAATAACTTATCAAACATAGTCAATAAGTTAGAGCGATGATTGTTCCAGCGCAGACAATATTGTTGTGAAGTGCTCGCCATTTCGATTAATTAATAAAACAGAACCTAAAATAAATAAATTATAACAATAAGATTACATCATTAATAAATATATGTTCTATTCTGACTTATATATCCAACTTTAATACATTTGTTAAAATTTTGAATAGATAGAAATTATATCTATTTTGATAGAAATTATATCATATAAAAAAATAAAAATTTGAATCCAAAAGTTTACAAATAATTATTTGAATGTTTTAAATATTTGTATTTTTTAATCATTTTCTAATTATTAAATTAATTAAAAATGAAATTTATCTAGCATAATTTTATGAGATATGAGTTATTCATGTGAAACTATCTTCATTTAACAAAAAATGCATGAGCAAAACGCATGTTGTTCATAAAATATATATACAAAACTTAAAATTCGAACAGTAACAATTCTTTTTTAATACATAAATTAAATTTTAATAAATATGAATTAAAAAATAATTTGTAAATAAATAAGCAAAATAAATTATTATTACATTTTATCAATTAATCAATATTTATAAATTATATAATGAAAATATTTTCTTATTTTTTTATTATATTTTCACATAATATATTATAATCTAATACTATATATAATTATAAATACAGTGTATAACATTATAATAAATTTCTATAATAGAAGAAAAAAATAAAAAAAAAAATTGACACGGATCTAAAACATTTATCATATAGTATAGCGAAGACTTACTCGTCAACCCGGTCCTCCCTTTTGAAAAAGCTGGCACCGTATGACGAAGCTGTTCAAATGGCCGCCGAGTACGCTAGGAGATGTATGATTAAGTTAACATGTGTGTGCACTCGTATTCGTCACTCAATTCCGTCGAACCAGCCTACAAAAATGTTGCCGCGAGAATCCAACCCTTAGTAACTGCGCATGACGTATGAGGGCGCATATATGCGCGAAACTGTTGATTAAAATGAATCTTTTCACATCTCTTTAATTTTCATAAATTGATAATCCTTTTTTTATAAACAAATCTTAGAAAGTCTCATTTATAAAAGCACAATTCACAAAAATTTTTATTTTCGTTTTCTATATTTCCGTTTTAATCTATTTTCTATTGTTATCCAACGTTTTTATTGCTCTCAGAATTTTTATTATCCAATATTTGGTTATCTTCATTGAAGTTTGTTTTCGTAATTGTTACGTTATTTCCTTTTAAGATTTAAGTAGCCAAATGATGATAATAATAACAGCATCAAGTGCACACCCGCAGCAAAATAAAGTTATAATACGAATAAGAACTCTCTCCCACGGCCTACTCGGCGACCACTGACGAGTTGTGAGTGGAAGACGCACTAACCGAGCTGGTCATGGCCATGGCTCTTCTTGCATAGGGGTGGTCGTACGTGTGTATTCGTATACTATCGCCATTGCTGTGTGTGCCCAGTGGCGTAACTGACAACTCTTTATGCGAAATATTTCGGTTAGAATTTTAAAATCTTATGTTAGTAATAAATGAAAGACATTAGCAATAAATGAACAATATCTGAAAACATGTTTGTGAGTAAATAAGTACATAATTTTGACCTTTAAAGAAATAGTTAAGCGATTAGTGCATTTATTTAATGAGCAGATTATCAGCGCATAAACTGTGGTCTATTGATAAGAAAATTTAAGAAAATTGAGGGAATTTTTAGAAAGTTTAACTACGGATTCTATAAATTTTAAGAAATTTTAAGAAATTTTAAGAAATTAAATCTCTTAGATAATTATAATAATCATTTATATTATTTTATTATAATAATAATTGTTAAATACAAATATAAATTTTTATATAAATAATAATTATATTAATATATATAATTATATAAATATATAAATTATGATAGTCTATTGATAATGACTTGCAATTTTCTAAATCTAATTCTAAATCTATTATATTATCATATTATTTTAAATTTGTTTAAACGAAATTGTTTTTTTTACATGATAGTATAATATTATTGAAAGTATTTAATTTAAATTTATTTATTATAATATCCAAGTTATATAAATTCAACTTAAAAAACGCACAGATACTAAAGTTACGCCACTGACTAGCACGCACAAGGAGACTTGCACAGACACCATCGTCCCTGGTTGCACGATCGGCCAATCACGCTACGTCTAGGCCAATATCCTGCGGGGTACGACACATACATACACAACTGGTGCATACTTGCATATATAAGCGTATATGTATAACTATATGGCGCCGTGTGTGTACACCCACGTCTTTTACTCGCATATCAGCATAGCATTAGATTTTCTTTTTATCCCAAGTTTTTAAGCAACGATTTGATTCCTTTATTCTAATAAAATTGTGATCACAATTTCTTTATCACTTTTTTTTTTAATATTCTTATTGTAATTTTTTTGTAAAATTGATTTTTCACAAATAAACTTTTAAAAACTTTATAAAAATTTTAATACGATTCAAAATGATTTAGAGAATCATATAATTAGAGAATCATATTATTCGAAATATTATCATGCAAAATAATTTTATAAAGCAATTAAAAAATTATATAATGCTTTGCGCATTTCGAAAATTTTTTAATACATATATATAAGTTGTAATCAAAGATTTTTTTCAAAATGTATATGTAAATAGAATAATTAAATTTTAAATAGATATTACAAATTTAAAAATGATCTTGATAAAAATGATCATTATTCTTGTTTCTCTAATTATTAAAATTTTTCATACATGTGATAAAAAATAAAAAGTTATATATATATATATATATATATATATATATATATATGTTTTCAAAAATTGCTATCACACCTTAACTTTATTACGATGATTATATTTTTATCCTTATATAAAATCTTATAAAATTTTTCTCATGATTACGGAAATCAAATAATTTTTTTTTTTATCATAATTAATATTATGTCTTTCATTTTTCATTTTTTTTTTCCTATTTTATAAAAATTTTTCAATTTTTTTCCAATATTATAAAAAATTTTAAAATTATTACGATAATAAAATAAAAATTGTTATAATAATGAATATAAATAAGAAATAAATTGAAAGATTGAATGAAACATAAATAAAAGAACTTACCAGTTTATTTTCTGCCCTTCCTTTTATGCATTAACGCACATGGACGTTGCGTCATTTTCTGTTTACCAAAGCTTGCGAAATGGCATATTAAAAAAGAGCCGAAAATATATTGTTTAATTTTCACATTACCTTAATTAATTCATACAATAAAAAAAGAAGCAAAAGATAAAAATAGACCATGATAAAAGAAAATCATTTTCTTGCGTGCTGCATGCCATGGACAGTTTTACACGAATATGATTAGAAGGTGTAAATGTGTAAGTGAGTGCGCCATCGAATGAAACTTTTGGTTGAAGAAAAAGAGGGGAATACGAAGCTACTAAGGTGAATCCTTGTATACTGTTGCGCCATTGAAAAAATTCCATATTCGACGAGTGAATACAACAGTCTCAGTTAAATTGTTTCCACATTGAAAATTAAATTTTTATATTTATTTATAGAATATACATTGCATTTTCAGATATGAGCAGTATCTGAAAGAAAATATTTAAAATATTGTTTTATATGTAATTATTTATCTATTATTTGATATTTATTAATTATTTTAATTTAGATAATTAAATTATCTAATTATTTTTAAATTACTAAAATATAAATAATAATGAAATGGAAAATTATACGTTACAGACACAAATTTTTTTCAATTTTTAATTTAGAAAAATCAGATTTTAATAAAATAACACAATTTATGTGTTATTTAAAGAATTAATTAAAAATTAAAAATTTGAAATTTATTGTATATTTTCAGATATTTTTTATTTTGAACTAAATTGAAATTATAGAATATAGTTTGTGCATGAGATTTTTTGAAGATATCGCAGTTCTATTTAATAGAACATCCAGTCGAGTTCCAGATTTAGCAGCAGCCTGCTCCCTCTTGTCTCAGGACGACCGGATTTTCACTAAAAAAATGTAAGACAAGCGAAAAGCTTCTTTGGTTTGTTGCGTGCATTTCCACGAAGTCTTTAAAAGGAATATTAATAATTTCAATCAAATCAAATGAAAAAAGAAAAAGTATGAACAATAAAGAGAATATATTAGTGATAAGTATAGCAACGTTGCACATTATCTATTTGGACAAAGCGATGATAGAGGGATATTAACTGTTTGCTTATCGCCTTTACAGATAGTATAGAATTCTTAATTTTGTATTCTTGCATATTTTGTTAATAACTATAAAAATGAAAGAAAACAGAAAATAGTAATTTTATAAATAGTTACTATTCAATTTTATAATAATATTAAATAATATTATTATAAATATTTTTATATATTCTTATAATATTATAATATTATTATAAACAATAATATTTATTAGAAATAAAATAAATAATTTTTTAGATATATGAATCCTATTTAAAATATATAGAAAAAGTACATACAAAAATGAGAGTTTTACATGGATCTAAGCTGATTTGGTCTGAAAAAAATAGATGTAAACGGCTTTTCAATCCCTATGAAAAACCTGTTTCTCTTCACATGTGCTTCTTGTCCTCCTAATTTCTTTAGAAAATCATTCTAAAATTTTGTTTCAATCATCTGAGCAAAACAAAAAAAGTTTTTTTAATTTGTAAAAGATATTATATAAATATATTTAATTATATTTATGATTTAATTTTATCAAATTTCAATTAATAGAAAAATATTATATATTATAATATATATATAATATATAATATATATATTATAATATCTTTATTAATTTTTTTAATTTTATTATTATAATTTTAAAATTATTAAAAAGTAACATTCTACAATAATTTTTTTTTTGAATGTAAATTTCGGTCATCATGTTTTAAGAAAAGAAGATATATATAGAATTATGCTAAGAGGTCTCTGCGCACAAGTGAATGAAGAAGTATTGCACTCGGTAATTGTAATGAATGGTTACTAGAAGGCAAAACACATCTTGAATAGTAGGAACAAAATGCACTGTTACATGGAATAATTGCACTTGACGCCGAAGGTTTCTACCAGACCGACAATTCTTTTGCTATTGTATAGGGAACAATGTATCAGCAGGTAGCCGATCATCGATCAGGAATCCCTTCGGTCAATGGCCTTGCAATGCACGCCAAGTTTTTTTTATATGTATTTATATAAAGTGTTAATGTATAAATCAATTGTTCTTGTACATTTATATAATGTATGTATTATTTGTAATTGTAATTGGATTTATTTTTTCCAAATTTCTAATCTAGTAATAATATTCGTTGCGAATATTTCATTCTAATTTTATTGACTTTTATTTTTGTACTATATATAAAATTTATAACTTATATATTGATAAAATTTTATTATTATATATAACTAAATAATCATGTTGTCATGTTGTCTAATTCTATGGATCATGGATTACAATTCTATGGATTAATAAAAAAATATTTCTAGTATTGCAATAAAAAAAAATATAAGTAAGGTGTACTCTACATATAGGGCCAAGGTTTATCTGTGTAGACGAGTGTCAGTGGGTCGACACCCGCAAACCGGTCCTGACCACGTGGAATGTGAGCCCGCTGTGCGATGTTGCCACGTATATGCATGATTTTCCAAAAGTGCATCTACCGCAGGCTTATTATACGCAACACATGTGCATATATATTTTCTTGTCCTCTCAACTTTCGTACAATTTCGAAAAAACTAACTTTAAAATCTGACTTTTACTAATCAAAATATTCAAATATCAGTTCATATCAATATCCATCTATATATACTTTTTATATATGCATTTTTATATTTTCTTTTTATAAATTTTGTAAATTATTTATTTTGCAAAAAATAAATAATAATTTTGTAATCATTTTTATATTAGAATTATTGTTTATAATCTATCATTCATCATCACTAAAATATAAAACTATATTTAATTTACTTCACTAAATTAATAATTATTTAATGTTATAAATCTATAATTTAATTATAATTTGCAATTAAATATAATAAAAATAAATCTCTATTATTTTCTAAATTTAAATAAATTTCATCAAAATTAGCAATAATTCAATATCTTTTTAAAAAAAAAAGAAAACAAAAATAGTACGTTTTATTTAAAAAATGACGCATAATTTACGCATCTATGAACACACTATTCTTACCCGTTGGACAACCCTACTCTTCAAGGTCATTGTTCCTCTATTCTACCAAGCCCTTCTTTATGCCTGCTAGAAACGAATGAATTTTTATGGCAGTATATTCTTAAGGAGCTTGACAATATCAATGTGCTTCCTGTGTAAGACACCTGTTATATCGCTACTCTTTTCTTCACTACATATAATGTGCATTTAATGCGATTAAGTACTATCTCTTTCTTTTTTTGATTTTTTTTTCCTTCAATCTTTGTCTTCAACCGTTGTTTTCGTTACAGATCACGATCTCAGAATAATCTAAGTGACGGAGAATTCTTTGTGACGTAAAGAAAACTGCAAATGTCTGAAAAATAACATAATAAAAGAGAATTTGTTTAAAAAAAAATTTTTCATTTTTCAATTTTTGATAATCAGAAATCTATTTTATAGATTTCTAGATTACGTACATATTTTTAATAAAAATCATTTTTAGCGATTAATAAAAATCAATAAAAAATCCTATACAAAATCATATAAATTATAAAATTTTATCTACATATCATTATTTATATTATAAATGAAAAAATATGAAATAAAGTAATTAGAGTTTTAGTGAAAATTTTTACTTAGTTTTATAATTTAGCAATTCTACGCCAATATATAATTTCTCTAATACTAACATTTCTCTTGATACGTTTTTATGCATCATGGCGTCTTTCCAGCGAAAAAACTTGGTGAGCATGCGATTACAGGAATGTGATGTAATCCGCATGTGCGCGCGCACACACAAGGAAGTCAAAGAAATAGCCATAACTTGTTTTGTATGCGAAGAAGAAAGTCGTTGAACCAGATTATCGGAGCATCGACCATGGAGTCGACGGCCGGTAAATAGAAACCTCCGCGAATAGAAACCTGTTTCTTCTTAAGTTCCACGCCCTTCCATCGAGTCTTCAATTCCACTAGAAACGGATCTTATATGTGTTACAGGGTCAATCTTCGATAAAATGTTGCCAGAGGCATCGTGGATTATGAGTAATAAGGATCTCTTCTGCCATCTTAAGGAAATATAACTAACTTCCGTGAGAAAGGTCAGATCATTTTCTTTCTTTGAAAGAGCGTTGCAATTTAAGCTTCGCTAATTTTAATTTAGTAATCAATAGAATTGGCATAGAATTATTAGGAACTATAATTATAAAGTAAATTATATAAATAAATTATTATGATGATATTATATAAATAATATTAATGAGAATATAAATATATAATGAGAATAAACAATTAAAGTGCATTAGTGAAAAATATTTATATATAACGTATTAATATATTTATAGAGAGATATCTTTAGAATATTGATTCTAAAGATCAAAACAAATACAAAAGTTGTTATATAAAAATATTGTTTAAGATTTATTAAATTATAAACAATTTAAATTTAGTAGTAAAGTAGCAATTTAAATGCTTAAAATTTAATAAATAAGGATCAACCGACATTTTTTCATATCAATTATATATAATCTATTTATGTAGAAATAACTCTCTGAAAATGATATATATTAATTAAATACAATATATTAATACTTTAGTATATATTGATATTAGAATATTTTATAGAACTCATACATTACAATTTTTTAATAAAAAGATGTATCTTAAATATATTATATTAATATTATAATAATATTATATTTATTTAAATATTATTTTTATTTTTTTATATTCTTTATTTTAATTATTAAATAATTTGAGATTATTTAATAATTGAGATTTAAGTTAAATTTTTTTATTTATAAAAAAATTCCAATATTTCATTTAAATTTGCAATTTTGTAGGTTTAAATAATATCAAGAAACTAAAAATCTTAATTCTAGAATCAATCTACTTTCATAAAAATCAAATTAAAAAAAACTTACTTGACGAAATCATAACTTGATGATTAATTTTAACTTTAACAAAATGTTCAAGTAGTATTAAACAATTATCAACTCAAAAATTAAAGTTCTTTCTGTTGCTTAATGCAAATATTTATTATTTATATAATTTATTTTAAATATTATTTATATATAAATTATTTATATAAAAAATTATATAAATAAAATTTAAATTTAGATTCTCAAAAATGAAAAGAATATAATTATGAACAAAATTTAATTAACTTATGTTTGATTTTAGATGTTTTTTATTACTATCAGTTTTCTCTAGATGGCGCTTACTTATTTAGGTTATTTTATTATGATGACTCAATTTGTGTGTAAAACAGTGTTTAAATATTTTCAATTTAATTTTTTCTGAATTTTCAGAAATATACTGTGTAAAATTAAAAAATTAATAAAATCATAAAAATAGACATATTATTGATTAAAAATCTTATGTTTATAAACAGATATAAAATCATTTAGTACTGTATCGTTGAATAAAGTGGAATATTCCCTTTGCCCGTGTTGTTCCAAGTGCCAACTTTTCAATTCTATATTATGTTAATACTAACATGGATGTGTTAGTGCAAAAAATAATTTCAGACTCGGACGACGAATTTTCAAAAAATATTATTGCCTTTCAGAAAAATGTAAGTTTAAATGCTTTAAAGATTTTTATAAAAAATTCATAATATAAATTAATTTTCTATTATTTTAGTATGGAAACCGAACAGTATTTGAAGAACTCAATAACGATCAATTACGTGAAAAATTATGGAAAACATTGTTTCGTTGTTTATCAGACAATTCACAATCATTTCTTCATTATAATTGTTTATCCACTTTGCGGATACTTAGGTAACATTATAATGTGATTATGTATATTTATATGAGCTATCATTGTGTAATTTTATATTTTGACTTATACATATTGAGTTTATAAAAAAAAACTTTATTGAATAAATACATTTTTATTTTTAGCAAAGCATTAAAACTTTTCTGACACCACTTTGTGTTATTGCTTTAAATGTAGACCTAGCTTTTGCTATTATTATTAAGTAATTCTATTGTTTTTCTCCATTAACGTAGCAGAGACAAAACAAAGTTAAACGAATTAATCACAGACGAAAGATTAGGTATTATATTAGATAATGCAGCTCTAAGGGACATAAATATAAATCTACGCATCTATAGCAATGGTAAGAATAATGTAGTTATCCATTATAAGTAAAATATTATAATAAATATGACTTCTAACTTCTAACTTATAAATATAATTTCTTTAATTCTTATTTATTTTGTAGTTAATATTGAAGCTCTTAAATTACTATGTAATTTAATATTCAATAGTATAAAGGTTCAAGAATTATTACCAAAAACACATTGTTTACCATGTCTAATTGACCGTATAAGAAAATACAATGAAAAAATTCCATATGAAATAATGTTATTTGATACAAGAATTATATTTCTAATTACTGCTTTAAACATTTCCACTAGACAAATTGTTAAAACAGAATTGAATGGAGATGAATGTTTTATAAAAATGTTGGAGAATATATGCATTCAATGTGAACAAGATAAATTATATTTTATTAAGGAAGATAATGCAATATTAGTGTGTGAAATTTTAAAAGCATTATTTAATTTATATATAAATTCAGACAATACAACAGAAGAAAAAAGTAAAAATTTAGTTTCAATTTTGAATAAATTATTATTATTCAAATCTAAGAAAGACAATGATCTTCAAAGGTATTTATTATCTCTTAAAATATCAAATATATACATTATCTTATTATTATTTTATATTAATTTCTATTTCAGCAACATTGCAAATTTATTAACTGTGATGCCATATAATTGTTATTCAGAAATAATATCTCCTACCAAAGTGAAACACAAGCAAATATTCCAAAATATGGATATGAGTGCAGTATTTGTTTTATTAAAATTTTTAGATAGAAGACTAAATTTTAAGGATGACTTAATAGGAAATCTGAGTCCAATTGTTACTGCTTTTATCAGAATGGTTAAAGCAGAGAGATTAATTCGAAAATATACCAGGCTACAGGTTAAAATTCTTTTTATTTAAAAATATTTGAGAATTGTTTTAAAAATATTTAATTTATTTGAAAAATATTTAAAATTATTGCAAAAACAAAATATTTTGTTTTTTTAGATTTTACCTCCTTTAAAAGATGTAATGCATCGCCCAGAAGAAGGAACTACTTTGAGGGCGAAGTTGTGTAAATTATTAACTTCTCCTTTGACAGAGTTACGAGATCTCGTTGCCGAGTTTTTGTTCATACTCTGTAAAGAAAATGGTGACTGCAGATATTTAATAAAATATAAAAAATTTTTAAAAAATTTATTTTTAAAATAAAATTATTTGTTTGTAAATTATTATTTTTTGTAGTTACTCGTATGGTAAAATATACGGGATATGGAAATGCTGCTGGAATGTTTGCAAACAAAGGATTGTTGGGACCGAATAAAAAAATTCGACCTGCTTATTCTTCTGAATCAGAAGATAGTGAAACTGAAGAATACTTGAAGCATAAGGAACAGTAAGTATTTCTCTTTAATTAAATTTAAGATTCTAATAATTAATTTATAATTATAATTATGTGATAATTTTAATAAAATCTGTGTTTATCAAAGAATTAATCCAGTAACTGGCTGTTTTGAACATCCAAAACCTAATCCTTTAGAAGGAATGAGTGAGGAACAAAAAGAATACGAAGCCTTACAACTCATTGGCCTTGTTGATAAGTTAACAAGGTTCATATTCAATTATTTATTTATAGATATGATATATTTAATTTATATTTCATGCAAATTTAAAATCAATTTTATTATATTAGGGAAGGTGTGGTACAGCCTTGTAGAATTGGAGATGATGGAAAGCCAAAACCAATTGAACATGTCCTGGAATTGCAAGAGGAACTACCAAAGCAACAATATAATCATCGAGACTCTGATTCTGATTGAATGCTGAAATATTTGTATATAAAATTGTATGTAAGCACAAATACAAAATAAAAGTACTTATGTGAAATGTATTTTACTTTCATATCTGGTATTCATTATCATCCAATTTTCACATAATCCAAGAAATCCAGTTGATGAAAGCTAAAATTACTAGAAAAAATTTCAAATTGATAAAAAATGTGATGATTACAAAAAAATTCAAAACGCCAATAAAGTTGATTTGCTTACTTTATTGAAAAAAGAACAAAGAACAACATTACAAATTAAACAATTGGCAGGAAATAAAAAATATAACAGTTTCCAAAATCACATGAAATATTTTAAATATTATAATTTTATGTTATGTGCTTTCGTGAGCATCACAATATATTTATTATTGCATTTTGCAGCCTATACGCAGACAAAAACATATGTTTCCTACATGTTTCAAAGAACTGCATTAGTTGAGTAACTTTTTTTTCTCTTTTGTTTGGAAATGTGTTCCGCACGGGACGCAACGAAGTTGGGGGAATTGACAAGGTATAAAAGGTTTATTTTTAAAGACTTCCTTTAAAAATAATATTATTCATGCGATTTCAAAATGAAAAAACGTCAACTCAATAATTGTATTCAACATCATTACAAAAAACTAAAAAATTTTCAGAGCAATAGCAACATAACTTGCTCTCCTTTTCCCAATTTCGCCCGTGAAGATACTTTTCCAAACATAGCGCACGCTTAAATCTGACAAATATATAAGTAGCAAATATTCTCCACATATCTTTAAATACATAATATTAATATAGTACGTAGATTAAAATATTTTATTTTCGTTTTATTTTTTTTTATTTTATTGTTGTTTGTAAAAGTGTATATAGATGTGTATACGTATAATACCATAAATTTGAATATTTCATATAAAAATGAAACCAAAAATTTAGTAGGTACTGACGTAGAGAAGAAAAAAGGAAAAAAAGAAAGAGAAAAAATATTAATAATAATAGTAGTAATAATAATATAATAATAAGCGAAAATCCCCATTTAAACGAAAGAAGAGTTACACATATATATGCGTACATATGCATATTGTGCATAATATACACACACACACACACATATAGTAACATTGGTGTGTGTGTGTGTGTGTGTGTGTGTGTGTGTGTGTGTGTGTGTGTGTGTGTGTGTGTAAGACTAGGTTTAACAAATTTTGGGGAAATTCGGATGAAGATGCAAGGAGGAATTAAAATTAGAATCATCAAAGATATCACTCTTTTTTTTCTTTTTTCTTTCTCGTTTGAAGGACTTAATTAGAGAAACAGATATACATATATGTGTAAATTCAATATATGTATTTATTCACATATACGTATATATACATATATATTTTATCTAAAGGCTGAATAGGAAAGGGAGACCGACAATCGATTACATAATCGATAATATGCCTATACCTGTGCAAATTTTTTTTACATATAACTGTACGCGTAATTCACACTAAATAATATAATATTGTTCTTTTTTTAAACGTTTATAACGTGACCATGCTCCTTGGCATCCCATTAGCATATATAAAAAATATATTTGGAATACACGCTTTTTTTTCATATTGCATTTTTAGCATTTTTCTCTCGTCTTGTACTATACTTTTTATATAGTTTTCACAGTTTTGAATTATTTAAGCAATATGTCGGAACATTTTTTCTCTCAAAATCCATCCCATTTTTGCGAATAATCTAATAAAAAATACCAATGGAGGTCTTAGGAAAACATGGTTTACGCATAACGAATTATATTGAATTTATTTATTTCTTTGCTTCTCATTATTTTCATTTTTTTTTTCACTTCTAGTATGTATTTCTTTCTTTTTTTATTTTTCAGCTTTTCTATTCTTCTGTTTAAAACATACTCGCAATATCTGAATAGATATCATGTCACATTAAACCTTATCTTGAAAGATATTGTTTCTTTTTTAATTTCAATATATAGAAGTTCCATATATTGGTGGCTCGGCGTTCTTTTTCATTTTTTTGTTCTGTTACTTTGCAATGGATAATAGTCAACAATATTTATCACCTTTCTCTCGCTATTTAGAAGAAGTTTTGATTTGTTTTTCTTTTATATGAAAACATTTTTATTATGAAATTGTTCGTAGAAGCTCGTAAACAATTCAGATCAAGACAGATCTGAATTCATGGATTTGTCAAATTTCTAAGAATAAACAAATCCTTTAATGTTCTCCGCAATAGCAAGAAAAACTGTACAAGTTTTGATAATCTATTATTAGTTTAATTGAAAAATTTAAGCTTTTTGAACCGTTTATGACTAGAATATTTTTTTTTCTCAGAAATACCATTTCCAGGTACAAGATTTGATGATCAATGAACAAATTTTGAAGAAATAAATAATTACGAATAAAATTAAAATTGAAATCGAAATATTTTGTATCAGATAAAATATACTTAAAAATAATTTCCGTTAAAAATATATTTTCCTAATCGAAGTTGAAACAATAAATGAAGAAACATTTAAATGATTTTATTCTCTTAATTGCTTAAAATATTATTAGCCATTATTCTAATATTACAGCTTATAGATAATAAATTATGAATTATAAATAATATGTTATTGTAACATTGCACATTGAAAGAACATATTATTTTTCTACAGTTTCTTAATCTATTGCTTGAAACAACATTCTCACTCGAAGAATTATCGTTTATATTTAATTCAGTTCTCTTCAAGTTTTTTATTATTTTTGGCTCGAAAAAGCATGAAAATGGTAAAACGAAAGAAACACAATTTCAGTTCAAGGAACGCCGAGCCAGATAAATCAAGAATCATCCTATTCGGATATAATTTTTCGCTATTAACGAATGTACAGTAATTCTCCATAGAAGAACTTTTTTTTTCTAGTTTGCTTCATGGACGTCTTTCAATTGTCTCCTAGTCTAATATGCTAGGTGTCGCTTCAAACAAGAGGTATCTTGTTATTAAAACATTGAGGTTTCGATTCATCGTTGAAAAAGTGAAAAAACACTCAGAGAGATCACGGGAATATTGAAAAGCGCGCAATAACGCTGATGGAATGCAATGGTTTCTTAATGTGTCCATTTGTAGTCAATTTGATATGTCAAAGAAAAGATTTTCCAAGATAAAAAAAAAAAGAAGGAACGTGTGTGTCATTATTCTTAATATCAAAGTAAACATAGTTTGTGTGTGTGTGTGTGTGTGTGTGTGTGTGTGTGTGTGTGTGTGTGTGTG